GTTTGGACAGTGTCAATATCCGTACTTTTAATGACTTGGGAGAAGCGTTTATCAGGCAATACAAGTACAACATGGACATGGCGCCTGACTGTGACCAACTCAGGGCCATGGTGCAGAAAGACAAGGAATCATTCAAAGAATATGCACAGAGATGGCGTGAGGTGGTCGCCCAAGTGATTCCTCCCATGGAAGAGAAGGAGATGACCAAGATTTTCTTGAAGACTCTGGGTGCTTTCTACTATGAAAGGATGGTAGAAAGTGCTCCAAGTGACTTTACTGAAATGGTAGGCATAGGTATCTGTTTAGAGGAGTATATAAGAGAGGGCCGTTTAACAAAGAGTGAAGGATATGGAGGAGCGAAGAAGCCATCTTATGGGTTTACTAAGAAGAAGGAAGGGGATGTAAGTGCTGTTATGCAAGAGAGGAGGGTTAATCCTCCTGGAAGAAATTATCAGCGTCATCGAAAGTCACCTTAGTTACTCCAGTTATTGGTGTAGCTCTAACCACCGTGGCTTATCAGAGACCATCCCAGCAGGGGAATCAAGGGTATAATCAGAGAAGGGAGAGTTATGACCCTATTCCTATGAGTTATATAGAGTTACTACCTACATTGATTCAAAATAAGTTGGTTCAGACCCGACCACCTCCCGTTGTACCATCACCATTGCCTTGGTATTACAAAGCGGACCAAACATTTGCTTTTCATCAGGGAGCACCAGGACATAATGTTGAGAATTGCTATCCTTTGAAGACTGAGGTGTAGAAATTGGTGAAGTCTGGTATTCTATCTTTCAAAGATATGGGCCCTAATGTGAAAGACAATCCTCTTCCCAAGCATGGAGGAGCAAATGTTATGAATATGATGGCCAGTTGTCCAGGAGACTTCCGGATTTTTGATATTCATCTGGTTACAGGAGATTTGGTGAAAATGCATGCAGACCTCTGTGAATTTAGCTATTATACGCATGACCATGTCGGTTGTGCTATTTGCAGTACAGACATACAGGGTTGCGACAAGATAAAGACTGATTTGTAGGAGATGATGGATGAGGGCCTCATACACATAATTAGGCCTAGGGCAGAGTATGAAAAGGAGGTGAATATGGTTTCTGGATGTCCCGGAGAGTTCAGAATTTTTGATGTGGAGTATATGAATGAAGAACTTGTTCAATTGCATGCTACTTTCTGCCACTTGGCTGGTCAGGTGGAGCATCAATATGGATCTTTCCGATTTTGCTGTCGAGAATCCTGAGGATGTTCAATCGTTAAGAAAGGTATTCAGTTGTTGTTGGACAATGGAACTATCAAGGTTACATGTAAAAGGGATGATTACCATGAAGTTGATATGATTGAGGTTTGTTTGGCTGAAGAAGAGTCGGATGATGAGTATGCCTCTACAGATGAGTATTTCTCCTCAGATGAGGATTTGTTTCCCAGAGATGACTCAATAATGACTGATTGTGTTGAAGAAGGAGTAAACTTTATTGTGCCTTGTTTTGGTGCAACTTCCCATTTTGAAGTCGAGTATCATAGCAAGCCGGCTATTACTCCATTGGTGATTAGTTTGCCAAATCCTGTCCCCTACAAGTCAGATAAGGTTGTACCCTACAAATATAACGTTACAATCTTCGAGGATGGTGTGGAAGTTCCCATCCAGCCAATGCCTGATGTTGGAAATATTGCTGATACTAGCAGAGTGACCCATAACGGTCGTGTGTTTGCACCATTTGTTTGAGGAGATGTTAGTGCTGGAAAGAAAATTGGTGAGAATGTTGAACCCAAGAAGGCTACGGGTGAATCCAGTGGAGCTACATTAGAGAAAGAAGTGGATGATATTTTAAAGATGATCAAGATGAGCGACTACAGATCGTAGATCAGCTACTGCAGACTCCTTCAAAAATATCTATCTTGGCTTTATTGATGAACTCCTCTGCTCACAGGGAATCTTTGATGAGGGTATTGGAGCAAGCTTTTATGGAAAGTGGCATGCCTATAGACTAATTTAGCAGTGTAGTAGGGAACATTATGTCATGTAATAACCTGAGTTTCTGTAATGATGAATTGCTCGATGAAGGAAGGAATCACAACCTGTCCCTCCATATCTCCATGAATTGCAAGAATGATTCATTATCTAATGTGCTGATTGATAATGGATCTGCATTGAATGTTATACCAAGGAGCGCTTATGAAGTTGAAATATCAAGGAACGCCCATGCGCCCGAGTGACATTATTGTGAAAGCATTTGATGGATCAAGGAAATCTGTTATTGGTGAGGTGGACTTGCCTATTCATATTGGCCCACATTTGTTTCAGATTACTTTCCAGGTCATGGATATTGTACCCGCTTATAGCTTCTTACTGGGACTACTGTGGAAACATGAGGCAGGGGCTGTCACTTCGACTTTACACCAGAAGTTGAAGCTTGTGCGTGAAGGAAAAGTGGTAATTATAAATGGAGATCAAGCATTATTGATATCTTATTTGTCCTCTTTCAACATTGTGGAGGCGGATGAAGCTGCTGTTGGAACCCAGTTCCAAGCTTTATCCATTGATAATATAAGAGGAAATGTGAACTCTATAACTTTGTTTAAGGATGCGCAGCAGGTTGTGCGTAATGACCATAGCGATATATGGGGACATATTATTGATCCACCTGTGAACAAGAATAGAGCTGGCCTGGGGTTTTCTATAAAGAATGATAAAGGTAAGAGCATGAAGCTGAAGTCTACTGCAAGCAAGTATCAAGACATCTTTCGTAGCGGGGGTTATCTTCATCTGACTGTTTCCAGGATTAACGCTATTGTGGAAGATGAAGCAGAGCCGGAAATGCCAAATTATGTGACGCATGAAGTTAGGGTTCATAACTGGATCACCATTGATGTTCCCTCTTGCATACATGTTTCAAAGTAATTTTATTTGTTAATATTTTTAAAAATCTTTTACTCTGCCCAAGGTGGAAGTATTAATGATGTAGGGCTTATCTGTTTGCTGTGACTTTTAAAATAAATAATAAAAGTTGTCTTTGTTTCCTAAATTGTGTCTTTATTTTCAGTTTTTTCTTGGAAAATGGTAATCAGAAAAAACCTTTCAAAATAAATAATAACTGAAATACAATATGCATGATCACTTGTTATATGTGTCAGTTTCTAAATGCAATCATAAGCCATATGTTTAGATTAATTAAAAAACCCGTTGAATACAATGACCCTGCACCCTCTCCCAATTTTGAATGTCCTATGTATGGGACTGAAGAAGAAGACTATGATGAGATTCCAGAAGAGGTATCACAGTTGCTTGAGCGCGAGGAAAATGCCATTCAGCCATATAAAGAGCCACTAGAAGTCAAGATTGGAGCATTGCTGCATCCTGATGTGAAGAACAGGTTAATTAAGCCGTTGAAAGAGTATATGGATATTTTCGCTTGGTCTTATCAAGATATGCCTGGTCTAGATACAGACATTGTAGAGCATCGTTTGTCGTTGAAGCCAGAGTGTCCGCCAATCAAACAGAAGTTGAGAAGAACTCACCCAGATATGGCAGTAAAGATAAAAGAGGAGGTTCTAAAGCAGATTAATGCCGATTTTCTTGTGACGTTAGTGTATCCTCAATGGATTGCCAATATTGTCCCTGTTGTACCCCAATTTTTGACCTAAGATCCCATATTTATTTTTGCATTTTTTAAAGATAAGTCAAGGTCACTAAATACAGTCGGTTTTAACGTCTCACCTTCGAGATTTGACTATGCGAAGATTGTCAAGTGTTTTGAACATTTTTAGCATATGTATCACTAATTTCTAATCGCATACAAAGGTGTATGTTCATGTTTTCTTTTGTGTCAGGTGCAGAGACAGGTCTGAATCAAGAGCATCAGGTGTCGCGCCTCAATTAAGGTTTTGAGTCCCCCAAGCCCGAAGTACGGTTGATTGCGGATTCTCGAAGACTGATTCATCAAGGCACAACCGTTGCACCCTTAATTTCGCCCCTAATATGTTTTAGTCGCACTTTCATATCATACTTTGTTATTTGGTCACGATCATTAGTAAATATCTTCATTCATCACATTTTGCATCATTAGTCGTATTTAAGTTGACCAGAGAAGTCAGTTTAAATCAAAGTTTGCATCGTCTTTCAGTTGTAAAATACACGACATTTCACTTCATTCATTTTGATCTCTTTACTCATTTGTTGCATTGCTCCAAGTTGTTTATATGTTGATAATAAAAATATTTTGGTTTTATAGACAAACTGTTAAAAGCGATTCAACAATGTACGAAAAATTAGCGAGAAAAATATTTCAAGTTTTCACCTTTTTACCGATCATTTTATGAATCTGCGCTTCGCGTAGATTATGAAGGTATGCTTGCTTTATTTTTTCGGTACAGTTCGAAGTCTCGTTTTTAACCTTAAACGTCTGTTTAGTCTGATATTTTTATTATTATTTTATTTTTGATTTTTGACTTCTTGAATATTTTTTCTTTAATCTTTGTGACATGTAGATTATTTTAATGTGTTCATTTTATTTTTTCGGATAAATTTTCGTCCGTTTTTTATCATTTTTGGTCATTTTGGGTCTTTATTTTTTATTCAGAAAAATTCAAAAAAATATATTTTAAATTGCATTAATTTGTACACTTTCAGGTTTTTAAGTCATTTTTATTTTTAGAGGGATTTTTAATCATTAATTTTTTTGTTAAACTATTCTTTTTTCTAATTGGTTGATAGAAGTTGTGCAGGATTAATGAAAATAATGGACGGATATGATTGCAAGCTGAAATCATTTTTCCTCTTCATCTGACTATTTAAATAGTCTTCCTTTTCTTTGTGAAAAAACAACAAAAAACAACACAGTAAACAAAAAACACAACCTTTACTAAATTTCCTTTATTCTCTCACCATTCCAATTTTTACTCACAGCACCTACCGTCCACTTTCAATCCGCATTATCCATCATCTTTCATAAACCCAAACAACAACAACAACTCTAGCCACCCCGGTAAAATTATTCTCCAACGCATCTGTAAAACCATTTGTCTATGCAACTATCCATTCCGCGCACAACCTCAAACTCAGCCGTTGAAGTCTCCAGGTAGCTCAAATCCAACGTCTTCAAACTTCGTCGAGCATTCGTTCCTTGAACTTCAACATACATAGCTTGACACTTGTCTAGCCTATTATTTGCATTTAATCTCTCATCGATGACTTGTAACTTCTTCTTTAAAGAAATTGGAAATTCCAAACCTTGGTTTGCATCGTTGCTTTGCTGATCAATGTGTGATGTTAATGAAACCAAAGGAAGAGGCATAGAGTTTGCCGTTAGAAGTCTGTGAAAAGCAATCTCTAGTTTGTCAAGGGCAGTGCTAAGACTTCCTCCATCGAAGTGCGCACTGTTCTCTGTGGTCTGCAATTCTTGCAATATTCTCAATGATCTGTTAAAATTCAATAGGTATGAGTCATTGATACTAATTGTAGTTTTGTTTTGTAAGAACTCAAAAACACTCTTCAACCAACCTGATGCTAAGTTACAATTATCAGTGAGAAGTTTCAATGCTTCTTCAAGCTTCTTTGTGTTCGAGACATATGTGAATAAATCGGAACTTGGATCTGCCGAAAGACAATGTTTCAACTGAGTAACACATTCAATTTCTCCGGATTGGTCAGGCTTGCTACGCTTGATCTTGGTAACAATAGGTTTACTGGTGTGTTACCGCCGACTCTTTATGATTGTAAGTCGCTTGCTGCATTGAGGCTTGCGTCTATCAAATTGAGGGACAGGTTTCGTTTGAGATACTTGGACTCGAGTCTCTCTCGTTCTTGTCGATGTCTGATAACAAGCTAAAGAATATCACTGGTGCTCTTAGAATACTCACTGGTCTCAAGAAGCTTAGTACCCTTATGCTCTCCAAGAATTTTTACTATGAAGTGATGAACATGATAGAACCTGATGGATTCCGAAATATCCAAGTTTTAGGATTAGGTGGCTGTAGTTTCATAGGTCAAATACCGAGTTGGCTTAAAAACCTGATGAAACTCGAGGCCTTGGATCTTCCGTTTAATCAATTCAATGGTTCGATACCTCCTTGGTTAGTGTAGCGCACAATAATCTGCAAGGATGGATACCAACGGGTAGTCAGTTTGATACTTTTTCCAACACCAGCTTTGAAGGAAACTCTCAATTGTGCGGTCTCGTTATTCAACGCCCTTGTTCTCCTCAACTAAATACTACCAGTACTTCAGCTAGAGCCTTCCAAGATGTATAAGAAAAGTGAGAATATCTACTGGTTAGTATTTGGTTTGCCTTTATGATTCACATGCTATTGTTGCTATCCAAGGATTAGGTGTAACATTTCTTTCCCTTTTCAGCTTTATTGTTATTTCTTACTTTAGAATATTTAGAATCATAATCAATAATTTTAGAATTTTAATTTAATTAGATTAGTAATGTTAGAATCTTTAATTAGTTTAGGTATATTTTAATATTCTTTTAGAATTTTATTTGATTTAGATTTAGTTTAGTAACTTTGGAACTTTTTTTAGATTAGAAACTTTAGAATTAATTTAGTTTAGACCTAATTCAGTAATATTAGAGTGTTAATTTATTTTAGATTTAATTTAATAAACTTCGAATTTTAGTTAGTAACTTTAGAATTTTAATTTAGTTTTAGTTAATAACTTCAAATTTTATTTAATTTAATTAGACACTTTAGAATTTAGGTTTAGTTTACTTAGTAATATTAGAATTTCAATTTAGTTTAGATAATTTTCGTTTTAGTTAGATATCTTTATTTCATGATTTTTCTTTATCCCTCTATTTAGTTTTTCATTGTTTATATTGTCATTGTTTCGTTTGTTATTCAAATTTATTTCTTCGTGACTTTTCTTTCATATGTTAGTTAATTTTGTGATATTTTTTTGGTTTAACTCGTTTTAATTTCTATAGCTTACTCAACTATTTGTTTTCTTTATTTCAAGGGAAAGTATTAATTTGTTGACTTCATGTCATTAAACATCTAACAGGATCAAGCGAATACCCTCATCCATTTTTCGCTTATTTACTATTTTTCCAAACTTAAGATAATTCTCCCAAAAGACTCCATTTTCAAACTCATACCTTTTCAAGCCAAAACTTCGACATTAGGTTATCACATTTTCAAAATCCCTCCAACACCGATTTTTAGCCAAACGAACCATTCTAATCAAACAAACAATTTTAACCAAAAACAGATATTTCAAAAGGTTCCTGCGGAGCACCGCAGATGCATTGGGTGCTAATACCTTCCCATTGTATAACCAACCCCCGAACTCTCGATCTCTTTTAAAAACGCATTGTATTTTCATTACTTTTAAATATTAATTTACATTGCATACTTTAGGGTTTTATTTCGCTCTTTTCCCTTTTCCCTTGGAAATAATAAAGCGCGGTGGCGACTCTTGCTTTTGTGAGTCAAGTTAATTAATAGCTTGATCTCCGATTTTCACCGCTACAGAATTGGCGACTCTGCTGGGGAAAGATTGACCTCTTGCTGGTCCATCCTTAAGTGGGTTAAGCCTAATTTGTTTTATCTGTTTTATCATTATTTGATTGTTTGATTATATGTATATATTGTGATTATTGGGGTGTTGATAATATTTACAAAGGACAAGTCCTATACCCGGACTAAGTTACACTTAGGAATAGGACAGGCGGTATAGTCATGTTAACTTTGAGGGAGTAATCCCGAAGAAGGAGGCATGAGATCCCCCACTCAGTGGAAGGCCCTTTTGAACGTAATATTTGTTTACCGAGTAATCGGGAAGACATTATTATTTTCGACCTGGGAGCCAGAGAAGCTGGGAACCGTAGAACCCTAACCCATCTTGGCCCTTTAGGTGTAGCGCGAAGATTATAACGGAGTAATCCGGAAGTAATTGTTACGTGATGCTACGCTCGGATGAGTTTCTCTTGAGAATATTGTTGATTATTGAGTAATCAAGACGTTGATAATATCCGAAGGAGGAATGTAGACTCCGGGAACTCTTAGTACCTTGTTCTACAGGTGTGATTAAACCGTTAGTACATACCTTGGGGGTGTTCCTTACCTTGACTCCATGCTCGTGATGTTGAACCTTTCAACTTTATTTGTGACCTTGCTTGTGGTTGTTGCATAGCCATGCATTCATGCATCCATAAAACCCTTTTCACTTGACTTTGAAGGAATTTGGAGGTCTTTCTTTGTAAACATCACAAGTTTCGTCAAGCTCAATGGATCTTGGGTGTTGATAGGGCGAAAACCTTAATCCACCAAAATGGATGATTGATCTTGATGATAACTTGATCAATGTTTGGAGCCAATTTAAAATTCATCTTCTATCTTCATACTTTGATGTTTACAACTTAATATCTTGAGTTCCTTGAAAATCAAATAAAAACTCTCTTTTGCATATCATACATCATTCTACATTTTTCTGTTTCACTTTCAAAGGTCTTTTTCCGAGTCTTATTTTTCCTTTGGTCTCACCAGTACAACACTCTTGCTAAGAGAACAATGGAGAATATCAAGCAAGAGGTTTCTGAACTCCGTAGAGAGATGACTAATTTGAAAGCTAGTGTGGAGCGCTTAACTGGTTTGGTTGAAATTCTGGTTGCCGCCCAAGTCAATCCTTCTAGGAGGGACGAAGCGATGATAAAAGTCTTCACTGAAACTCTAAAATCATTCTCTCATAAGAAGGTGATGGTTAATTCACCTAATGACTTTCCTGACAAGGTGAATGTGGGAATGCGTCTAGAAGAAGATGTTGGGAAGGGATGTTCATATGAAGATGGTAGCTCAGCTAATGGTGTGAAGAAGTTTGATAATAACTTTTCCAAGAAGAGAACCAGAGGAAGAAATAATCCTTGTCAGAATCATCATGTTTCTCCCATTCATCAACAGAATCAGCAAGTTCCTAATCAAAGGAAAACCCAGTTTGATCCAATTCCAATCACCTATACAGATTTGTTCCCTATCCTGATGCAGAGGAATTTGGTTCAGACCCGACCTCCACCGAAGGTTCCTGAGAAGATACATTGGTACTACAAAGCTGATTTGGCTTGTACTTTTCATCAAGGTGCTCCTGGGCATGACTTGGAGGGTTGCTTTGCTTTGAATATTGAGGTTCAGAAGTTGGTCAGAAGTGGTATCTTGTCATTCAAGAACGTTGGTTTTGAAGTTCAAATCAAGCATGCGCCGAAGAGTAAACACGATTGATGGTGACTTTGATTTTTGAAGGATGTTTTCGGTAATTCAAGTACAGATGGAAAGCCTTCCCAGATCATTAACTTATTTCTGCTTTTTGTAAATTTTCTTGTTTATCAAAACATTGTTTGCATGTAAGAACTTGTTTGCATCTGAATGATTATCTTAATACAATGAGTATGTTTGTCTTGAAGAAATTCATTCGTTTCACTCATATTTGTTTTCAAATTTTAAATTGCTTTTGCACTATGATACCAAATTGTTGCTCATTCTCTTGCCTAGGCGGAGATTGAGGGGAGGATGATGATCTAAGAACACAAAATCTCTGGTTGCATGCTTTTGGATAAAATCTTGCTGATGATGTACATGCATTGTTTCAAATCCCTAAACACTGGAGATATAAGGAAGATAATCCCTTGCTAACCCCTTTTGAGCCTTTGAAGCAGAAGTTTCTTTTCTATACGAAAAAACCTTGAATTTTAACCTGGGGCAGGGTAGTTTTTAGTTAATCTGACTGAGTGTTCAAAATTCATAAGGAAGATGTTTTTTAAAGAGAAACTACGAGGGCTATCCTCCATGTATAATGAATCTAGAGGATGTGGAACCACAATGTTATCCCTCATTCATCAAGAAACAAGGCAATCACAATCCTCTCAACAAGCAAATACAAGCTAATGTCACACATTTTGTTCAAAAAGTCAAAAATCGAGAAAAAGAAAAAGCCTGCTAAGTCGAAAAACATGAAAACGTGTGACTTAGGCAAAATTAAGGCATCCCGCTGTACTATCAATTCAAAAGAATTAATTCAGGCAAAAGTTAGGGAAAATAAAATTGCAAAGAAAAGGACTGCAAAGAAAAGTCCTCAGCAAAGAACAAAGTGGTGACTACAAACAGGAAGACATGAGGGTGGTTTTTATTCCGAAAGCCTCGTCGTTTCCTTGACCGTCACAAAATCCTTTTGAGAGATGAACACTCATGTTGAATTAACTGAACATAGGATTGGAGAACATCATGAAGAATGGGTGGGCACCAAATATTTTGAGCCTTAAAATCTTTTTTCTAAAAACCATGAACCAGACCACGTTACAACCTTCAAAAGTCCTAATTGAAGCAAGGTTATTGTGAAAGCATACTTCAATGAGATAGTGTTCCTGACTCCCTTGAATGTTCTAAATAGTTATGTTGGTATCATATGTTTTTCCTGCACAAAAATAAATGGTGCTCTAACTCGCAAAATTTGTGCGATATCTTTTCAAAATCTTCAAGACTTACATAACTGTTGCATTAGAATTTTCATTCTCATTGTAAACTTTTTTTCTAACTGCAAAACATTTGTTTGATATCAAGGAAGCTCACATAAGCACCAGTGATGAGTTTATTCTTTTAAGGCTTGAAACTATATTGAGTAATTGGCGAATCATTTCAAGGAAAAATCATATCCAGGGGCATGTCACATGAAGACCTTAAGCACAAACATGTTGCTTCTCCTAATTAATGCTTTCCCAACTTGTTTACTCTTTTGGGGCAAAATTTTTAAGACTTTGTTGTGACAACTACATTCAATCCGGGGCAATCACGTCGAGATTGGATGAATCTCTCTAAGAGTTTGAAGACACCAGAGCATGGTGAATGCCAAGTCTTTTGTAAAATCCTCTTGAGACGATTTCTCCTCATCAACCAGATAGCTTGGGGCATGTTAGAAGTGAAGCTATTCGCAAGAATTGTCGTGCAACATGCAGCTCATCAGCAGTAAACTTGGGGCATCTAAAATTAGTCCCAAGGGCAATCCAGATTTGTCAAGATATGTTTTGCACACATTATCAGAGGGTGGTGTTCCCAGTATCTCCAGCTAAGCATGACTTTTTCCAGCCGAAACAGTGTTCGTGTTGTCATCCTTTCAAGGGATTGTTAGTGATAGAAGATTGAACTTTGGGCTTTCTACCGAAAAATATCTTCCTTTCCAAAGAGATTTAAGCCTTGTAAAAGGACTTTGCTCCAATGATGGCTTTTGTTTTTATCTCCACTAATGTTCCCCTTTTGTTGAGATTAGCTGAGCGTCGGGTTGTACTGGGACGTCTTATCATCTTCCGTCTATCTCCCCTGTTTGTTTTGTCAGCATATATATGGCATTCATTCATTCGTTCACACTTGCATCATGCACGCACATTTGCATTTGTTGATATCTTTGAGTTCGTATATCTTGGTTATGTCTATTCAAATAACATATTTGATCTTTCCAAATAGAGTGTCAACTTAAGCAGAAAGTGCGCCTCTTTTCTAATTCCCCACTGAGTTAACTCTCGTGGAAGAATCTTGCTTTAGCTTTCCTTTTCCATCTCTGGATAGGATAAATCCCCATTTGAGTTGTTTCCTCATTGGGTGGAGTCTTGTTTGACTATTTTCTCCCCAGTTTATTCCTGGATTGAGCTTTGTCTCTTGTGAACGATACCCTGTGAATCTCTCTAGGCTGTGAAACCTAGATGGAGAGTGCATTTATTTTGCAACGTAAATACTTGGTCTCCTCAAGAAGGATTTATTCATGGTTCCCCATTGAAGATGAACTTTATTCCCCAGTAGTGTTATCACAACCTTTTTCTGGAATATCGACATGACAACAAGCGACTGACTCTTTATTTGAGCAGTTTGATTATTTCTGATTTCTCTACGACAAATGGCGGTCTCTTCATGAGCAGTTTGTCCATCCCCGATGAAATTATTGGTTCTCACCTCCAGCAATATCTTCACGATATTTTATGGGTATCTTTTTGGGAAACAACAAGCGGCGGTCTCTTCATGAGGCAACTTGTGTGTTATGGATACTCTTGACAAACATCAAGCGGCGGTCTCTTCATGAGCAACTTGTATGTTATTGATACCTTGAAAGAAACAGCAAGCGGCAGTCTCTTCATGAACAACTTGTATGTTATCAACACTTTCTCAAAACGGCAAGTGGCGGTCTCTTCATGAGCAGCTTGTACGGAAAACGGCAAGTGGCAGCTTCTTCATGAGCAGCTTGTACGTTAGTATTTTTGGAAGACAGCAAGCGGCAGTCTCTTCATGAGGCAACTTGTGTGTTATTGTTCCCTTGAAGACAACAAGTGGCAGCTTCTTATGAGCAGCTTGTGGGTTTTGGCAACAAGTGGCGGACTCTTCATGAGCACCTTGTGTGCTTTAATATTCTTTGAAGACAGCAAGTGGCGGTCTCTTCATGAGCAACTTGTGTGCTTTAATATTCTTTGAAGACAGCAAGTGGCGGTCTCTTCATGAGCAGCTTGTATGTTATTGACACATTTGAAAGGAAGCAAGTGGTGGCCTCTTTATTTGAACAGCTTGTGTATCCCCAACAATAATGTCTACTCAGGAAATGGCATCCCTTTCGGAAAAGTCCCGTGGGGAAGTTTGTTATTTTATCCTTTTCAAGCGATATCTCGGTTAAAGAAGAAATGTGTTACCGTTCTTGGTAAAATTCAGAAATCAGAGATGTTTATCTCCAGCCACAGTGTTGATGTCAACCATTTTGTTTTCCAGCCACAGTGCTGATGTCAATCATTTTATCTCCAGCCACAGTGCTGATGTCAATCATTTTGTTTTCCAGCCACAGTGCTGATGTCAATCATTTTCCAGTCTCAGTACTGATGTCCACCATTTCTTTTTCCCGTCTTCGTACTGATGTAAATCATTTTTTTTTCCAGTCTCAATACTGATGTAAATCATTCAAGAATCTCTCATTTGAAGTCTATGACTTTGTTTCCCCAGTGGAGTTACAACCTCTTCCTCTGTGGGATTACTGTATAATGTGCTTGGTTTCTCCAGCATAGTTTGTCTCATATGGCGTCATTCCCCATAAAATTCAGAGCATTACATTCATATCATATCATGAACATAATCGCGGTATCTTAAGGCCAAAAATTGTGTATTCTATATTTAAGTCCCTTCAATCTCGTCGAGATGAAGATCCCAATCTTCATATCTCCAGATAGAAGAAACTTAAATAGGGGCAGCTGTTGTACCCCAATTTTTGACCTAAGATCCCATATTTATTTTTGCATTTTTTAAAGATAAGTCAAGGTCACTAAATACAGTCGGTTTTAACGTCTCACCTTCGAGATTTGACTATGCGAAGATTGTCAAGTGTTTTGAACATTTTTAGCATATGTATCACTAATTTCTAATCGCATACAAAGGTGTATGTTCATGTTTTCTTTTGTGTCAGGTGCAGAGACAGGTCTGAATCAAGAGCATCAGGTGTCGCGCCTCAATTAAGGTTTTGAGTCCCCCAAGCCCGAAGTACGGTTGATTGCGGATTCTCGAAGACTGATTCATCAAGGCACAACCGTTGCACCCTTAATTTCGCCCCTAATATGTTTTAGTCGCACTTTCATATCATACTTTGTTATTTGGTCACGATCATTAGTAAATATCTTCATTCATCACATTTTGCATCATTAGTCGTATTTAAGTTGACCAGAGAAGTCAGTTTAAATCAAAGTTTGCATCGTCTTTCAGTTGTAAAATACACGACATTTCACTTCATTCATTTTGATCTCTTTACTCATTTGTTGCATTGCTCCAAGTTGTTTATATGTTGATAATAAAAATATTTTGGTTTTATAGACAAACTGTTAAAAGCGATTCAACAATGTACGAAAAATTAGCGAGAAAAATATTTCAAGTTTTCACCTTTTTACCGATCATTTTATGAATCTGCGCTTCGCGTAGATTATGACGGTATGCTTGCTTTATTTTTTCGGTACAGTTCGAAGTCTCGTTTTTAACCTTAAACGTCTGTTTAGTCTGATATTTTTATTATTATTTTATTTTTGATTTTTGACTTCTTGAATATTTTTTCTTTAATCTTTGTGACATGTAGATTATTTTAATGTGTTCATTTTATTTTTTCGGATAAATTTTCGTCCGTTTTTTATCATTTTTGGTCATTTTGGGTCTTTATTTTTTATTCAGAAAAATTCAAAAAAATATATTTTAAATTGCATTAATTTGTACACTTTCAGGTTTTTAAGTCATTTTTATTTTTAGAGGGATTTTTAATCATTAATTTTTTTGTTAAACTATTCTTTTTTCTAATTGGTTGATAGAAGTTGTGCAGGATTAATGAAAATAATGGACGGATATGATTGCAAGCTGAAATCATTTTTCCTCTTCATCTGACTATTTAAATAGTCTTCCTTTTCTTTGTGAAAAAACAACAAAAAACAACACAGTAAACAAAAAACACAACCTTTACTAAATTTCCTTTATTCTCTCACCATTCCAATTTTTACTCACAGCACCTACCGTCCACTTTCAATCCGCATTATCCATCATCTTTCATAAACCCAAACAACAACAACAACTCTAGCCACCCCGGTAAAATTATTCTCCAACGCATCTGTAAAACCATTTGTCTATGCAACTATCCATTCCGCGCACAACCTCAAACTCAGCCGTTGAAGTCTCCAGGTAGCTCAAATCCAACGTCTTCAAACTTCGTCGAGCATTCGTTCCTTGAACTTCAACATACATAGCTTGACACTTGTCTAGCCTATTATTTGCATTTAATCTCTCATCGATGACTTGTAACTTCTTCTTTAAAGAAATTGGAAATTCCAAACCTTGGTTTGCATCGTTGCTTTGCTGATCAATGTGTGATGTTAATGAAACCAAAGGAAGAGGCATAGAGTTTGCCGTTAGAAGTCTGTGAAAAGCAATCTCTAGTTTGTCAAGGGCAGTGCTAAGACTTCCTCCATCGAAGTGCGCACCGTTCTCTGTGGTCTGCAATTCTTGCAATATTCTCAATGATCTGTTAAAATTCAATAGGTATGAGTCATTGATACTAATTGTAGTTTTGTTTTGTAAGAACTCAAAAACACTCTTCAACCAACCTGATGCTAAGTTACAATTATCAGTGAGAAGTTTCAATGCTTCTTCAAGCTTCTTTGTGTTCGAGACATATGTGAATAAATCGGAACTTGGATCTGCCGAAAGACAATGTTTCAACTGAGTAACACATTCAATTTCTCCGGATTGGTCAGGCTTGCTACGCTTGATCTTGGTAACAATAGGTTTACTGGTGTGTTACCGCCGACTCTTTATGATTGTAAGTCGCTTGCTGCATTGAGGCTTGCGTCTATCAGATTGAGGGACAGGTTTCGTTTGAGATACTTGGACTCGAGTCTCTCTCGTTCTTGTCGATGTCTGATAACAAGCTGAAGAATATCACTGGTGCTCTTAGAATACTCACTGGTCTCAAGAAGCTTAGTACCCTTATGCTCTCCAAGAATTTTTACTATGAAGTGATGAACATGATAGAACCTGATGGATTCCGAAATATCCAAGTTTTAGGATTAGGTGGCTGTAGTTTCATAGGTCAAATACCGAGTTGGCTTAAAAACCTGATGAAACTCGAGGCCTTGGATCTTCCGTTTAATCAATTCAATGGTTCGATACCTCCTTGGTTAGTGTAGCGCACAATAATCTGCAAGGATGGATACCAACGTGTAGTCAATTTGATACTTTTTCCAACACCAGCTTTGAAGGAAACTCTCAATTGTGCGGTCTCGTTATTCAACGCCCTTGTTCTCCTCAACGAAATACTACCAGTACTTCAGCTAGAGCCTTCCAAGATGTATAAGAAAAGTGAGAATATCTACTGGTTAGTATTTGGTTTGCCTTTATGATTCACATGCTATTGTTGCTATCCAAGGATTAGGTGTAACATTTCTTTCCCTTTTCAGCATTATTGTTATTTCTTACTTTAGAATATTTAGAATCATAATCAATAATTTTAGAATTTTAATTTAATTAGATTAGTAATGTTAGAATCTTTAATTAGTTTAGGTATATTTTAATATTCTTTTAGAATTTTATTTGATTTAGATTTAGTTTAGTAACTTTGGAACTTTTTTTAGATTAGAAACTTTAGAATTAATTTAGTTTAGACCTAATTCAGTAATATTAGAGTGTTAATTTATTTTAGATTTAATTTAATAAACTTCGAATTTTAGTTAGTAACTTTAGAATTTTAATTTAGTTTTAGTTAATAACTTCAAATTTTATTTAATTTAATTAGACACTTTAGAATTTAGGTTTAGTTTACTTAGTAGTATTAGAATTTCAATTTAGTTTAGATAATTTTCGTTTTAGTTAGATATCTTTATTTCATAATTTTTCTTTATCCCTCTATTTAGTTTTTCATTGTTTATATTGTCATTGTTTCGTTTGTTATTCAAATTTATTTCTTCGTGACTTTTCTTTCATATGTTAGTTAATTTTGTGATATTTTTTTGGTTTAACTCGTTTTAATTTCTATAGCTTACTCAACTATTTGTTTTCTTTATTTCAAGGGAAAGTATTAATTTGTTGACTTCATGTCATTAAACATCTAACAGGATCAAGCGAATACCCTCATCCATTTTTCGCTTATTTACTATTTTTCCAAACTTAAGATAATTCTCCCAAAAGACTCTATTTTCAAACTCATACCTTTTCAAGCCAAAACTTCGACATTAGGTTATCACATTTTCAAAATCCCTCCAACACCGATTTTTAGCCAAACGAACCATTCTAATCAAACAAACAATTTTAACCAAAAACAGATATTTCAAAAGGTTCCTGCGGAGTACCGCAGATGCATTGGGTGCTAATACCTTCCCATTGTATAACCAACCCCCGAACTCTCGATCTCTTTTAAAAACGCATTGTATTTTCATTACTTTTAAATATTAATTTACATTGCATACTTTAGGGTTTTATTTCGCTCTTTTCCCTTTTCCCTTGGAAATAATAAAGCGCGGTGGCGACTCTTGCTTTTGTGAGTCAAGTTAATTAATAGCTTGATCTCCGATTTTCACCTCTACAGTCCCAGTACTGAAAAAAGACGGAAAAGTCCGCATGTGTGTAGATTACAGAGATATAAATAAAGCTAGTCCAAAAGATGATTTTCCATTGCCACACATTGATATGTTAGTGGATAGCACAGCAAAATTCAAAGTATTCTCGTTCATGGACGGATTTTCCGGGTATAATCAAATAAGAATGGCGCCTGAGGACATGGAAAAAACAACGTTTATCACACCCTAGGGAACATTCTGTTACAGAGTGATGCACTTCGGGTTGAAGAACACTGGTGCAACGTACCAGAGGGCTATGACAACCCTATTCCATGATCTGATGCACAAGGAAATCGAAGTATATGTTGATGATATGATTGCTAAATCCTAGACTGAAGCAGGGCATGTAGAAGATTTGTTGAAGTTGTTTCAGCGTTTGAGGAAGTATCGTCTCCTCTTGAATCCAAATAAATGTACCTTCGGTGTTCGATCAGGGAAGTTATTGGGTTTCATTATTATCCAGAAAGGAATTGAAGTTGACCCTGATAAAGTCAAAGCAATTCAAGAAATGCCAGCGCCGAGAATTGAAAAGTAAGTCAGAGGGTTCCTCGGGCGTTTGAATTATATTTCCAGATTCATTTCCCACACGACTGCAACATGTGAATTGATCTTTAAGTTGTTAAAGAAATATCAAGGTTGCGTATGGACAGATGACTGCCAAAGGGCATTTGAAAGTATTAAAGAATATCTGCTTGAACCTCCTATCTTGCTCCCTCCTGTTGAAGGAAGACCATTGATTATGTATCTGACAGTGTTAGATAATTCCATGGGCTGTATTCTGGGACAACAAGATGAAACGGAGAAGAAAGAGTATGTTATTTATTACCTGAGTAAATTTTTTACTGATTGTGAGTCGCGGTATTCGATGCTGGAAAAGACATGTTGTGCTATGGCCTGGGCGACCAAACGTTTGTGGCAGTATATGTTGAATCACACTACTTGGCTGATCTCCAAAATGTATCCAATCAAGTACATTTTTGAAAAGCCCGCTCTTACTGGGAGAATTGCTCGCTAGCAGATGTTGTTATCTGAATATGATATCGAATACCGCACTCAAAAAGCTATTAAAAGTAGCGTGTTGGCAAATTATCTTGCTCACCAACTGGTTGATGATTATCAGTCTATGAAGTATGATTTCCCCGATCGGGATGTGATGTTTCTGAAAGTGAAAGATTGTGATGAACCGTTGCTTGAGGAAGGTCCTGATCCTGAATCTCGCTGAAGTATGATATTTGATGGAGCTGTGAATGCTTATGGTAAAGGAATTGGTGTTGTGATTGTCACTCCACATGGATCACACATTCCTTTTACTACAAGGTTGACATTTGATTGTACTAATAATATGGTAGAATACTAGGCTTGCATCATCGGTCTCGAGGAAGCTATTGATCTCAGAATTAAAATTCTAGATGTATATGGTGATTCAGCTTTGGTAATAAATCAGATTAAAGGAGAGTGGGATACTAGTCACTCCAGCTTGATTCCTTATAAAGATTATGCTAGAAGGTTTTTACCCTTCTTTAATAAAGTTAAATTCCATCACATTCCTAGAGATGAAAATCAAATGGCGGATGCTCTTGCATCTCTGGCTTCTATGTATCAAGTGTATACTTGGAATGATATACCTCGAATTATGGTTCAACGACTGGATAGGCCCACTCATGTGTTTACAGCAGAAGAGGTAGCAGATGATAAACCTTGGTATTATGATATCAAGCATTTTCTTCAGACTCAGGAATACTTGATTGATGCTTCGAAGAAAGATAAAAAGACATTGAGAAGATTGACTAATAGTTTCTTCCTCAGTGAAAATGTGTTGTACAAGAGAAATTATGACATGGTCCTGCTCAGATGCGTGGATAGACACGAAGCAGGCATGTTGATGCATGATATTCATGAAGGTTCATTTGGAACTTATGCCAACGGACATTCGATGGCAAAAACGATGCTAATGGCAGGTTACTATTGGATGACAATGGAATCTGATTGTTACAAATTTGCAAAGAAGTGTCATAAATGCCAGATTTATGCGGACAAGGTTCATGTTCTTCCAACACTTATCAATGTTATTTCTTCCCCGTGGCCTTTCTCTATATGGGGTATTGACATGATTGGGATGATAGAACCCAAAGCTTCAAATGGACACCATTTTATCTTGGTAGAAATTGATTACTTCACCAAGTGGGTGGAGGCTGATTCATATGCTAATGTTACTAAGCAGGTGGTTGTGCACTTCATTAAGAATAATCTTATATGTCGGTATGGTGTGCCGAGCAGAATCATCACCGACAATGGCTCGAATCTGAATAATAAGGTGATGACCGAACTGTGTGAAGAATTCAAGATTGTCCATCACAACTCATCTCCGTACAGGCCGAAGATGAATGGGGTTATTGAAGCTGCTAATAAGAATATCAAGAAGATTATCTAGAAAATGGTTGTTACTTATAAGGATTGGCATGAAATTCTCCCTTTTTCTTTGCATGGATATCAAATATCTGTCCGCACTTCAACAGGAGAAACCCAATTTTCCCTTGTGTATGGAATGGAAGCTGTGCTCCCAATCGCGGTTGAGATTCCCTCTTTGCGTGTGATAATGGAAACCAAGTTGTCAGAGGCTGAATGGATCCAGAACAGGTTTGACCAATTAAATTTGATCGAAGAGAAGAGAATGACAACTTTATGTCATGGACAATTATATCAGAAAAGTATGAAGAAATCTTTTGATAAGAAGGTTGTGATACGGTGGAAGAACTGACTGTTTTTGAAATGCTGGTTTGTGTTTTGCGTTTGTTTTCGCAAAATGTCGCGGTAAGCAAGAGTCGCCACCGACTTTTATTTTATCCAACAAGGAAAGGAAAAAAAGCCCATAAAAATTCCTTTTTCGAGATATTTCTGAGTACGGGGGGTAGATTATAGAAAGGGAAGGTATTAGCACCCTTTCTATCCGTAGTTATCTACGGGCTCTTAGGTACTTGCTCATCATTTTCAAAATGTTTTCTTTGTGTTTGTGGGCTTTGAAAAGTTTTTGTTTTAACTTCGATTTAACTCTTGCTTCTGTCTTCAAGAGTGTAATGAAGTGTTTTTGAAAACTTTGTTTGTAAAAGAGTGTAAGTGTGAAAAGTTTTGTTTGGATTGAGAAAGTACTTAAGAACTAATCTACCTACTCTAAAAAAGAATCGTTCTATGTTCGTTTCCTTTAGACAATGCTATCCCACTATTAGTGAGTAGGTAGCACCGTCGTTGGAGTTTGAGGGTCAATTCGAAAGGGACATACGGTCACTAAAGCAATGTTAGGACGTCTTAGTAGTAACCCTAATGTCTTAGATCATTTATCCGAGGCAACAATATCCGAGGTAACCTTTCCGAGGCAACTTGATCTTTGGACAAAAAGGACGACCACTAAAGCATCCTATACTCAATGACCGTTTACCGAAGGCAACCAAGTGGGAGTGTACCCTAGGAGTGCGCATGTGCGAGTGATTCAATTTCAGATTATTTATCTTTGCACATTTAGGGTGATCTAACTGTTTTAAGATTAGTCATACATTCTTGTCATGCATCCTATTATCATAAATCTAACAGTTAATAATTTGCGGAATTTAAACTAATTATTACAAGGCCTAGGGTATTTACATCGTCAAAAGCAAACCCTTTGAAATTTAAAAGCGGAAAAATAAATAAATGTCCTAATTAATTATTACAAACCGGGAACAGATACAATAATTTGGATAAATAAAAATAAAGCGTGCGAGACAATTGAATTGAAAGCGAAACTAGGGTTTTGACCCTCCTCATTAAAGAAAATGTTTTTGTTGTTTTTATTTTTTTAAAAAAAGAAATTAATTCCTAAAATTAAATACTAAATTAATTAATTATTAAATTAATAAATGAAAAATAATTAAGTGACATATTTGGATTTTTGTTAATTTAGGAAAGAAAATAAAATAATTAAATTAATGTTAAAACCTAGTTATTCTAATTGATTTTTAATTATTTACAAAATAAATGAAAGTTATCTAAAATTAACCTAATTAAATTAATTGATTTTTTTTACTAAAAATAAATATCCTAACTTTAATTTAACATAAAATATTTTTGTGATTTTGTTTCTAAAAAGAAAATTGATTATTGGTTAGTAATTAAATTAATAAAATAAAATAATTAAATGAAATATAGAAGAGAAAATATAAAGAAAGAGATTGGGCCTGATTTTTAAGGGTGTGCATAGCAATTTTCTGGGCCCATTTGTGAGGTCCGTTTGACTTTTTGCAATCCAGTGCATGTGCATTGACTGACCCTTTGGTGCACCCTCAGTGGTAGCCACCAGATCTGGCCATCTGGCCATCTGGCATGTTGATGCTAAAGGCATATGGTGG